TCCAAACTTGCATTTGCTTAAACACACAAAAATTGGCTTCAGGGGCCGGGGATTCTCACTACAGACAAACCAACTCTCAGGATCTCCCTCATACCCTTTTACCCCATCTTACTGCTATTAATTAATGAAGGAACTCAATAATTGTTTTTAGCATTCTTTGCTTTTAAGACCAAATTATTGTAATCGATTAGTACTAGATTTCTATATGAAAGAAATTAATATTTTAATTTTATCATTAGAGGGTTTTATACTTCTATTGATTAATATCTTTATCATTTTAATTTTATAATCATCAAATTTAAACTTATTTTTAATCTTTCAATTTTAAAATTATTTATTTTAGTCATATAATTTTCAAAAAAAAATATGTTAATATCTCATTCATCAATAACATATTTAAAAATGATAGATTGAAACAATTATAAAATATTAAAAAAGCTTAGTCTGATATTTTTACTAATAATTAAATTTTATACAATAATATTTATCATATTATTTAACAAAATTTGAATATAAGAATTAAAATATAATTTTTGAAAATTATAGAAATTAAAAAAAATAATTTTAAATTTGAGAAATTAAAAATATTTATTTTAAATTTAAGAGACTAAAAATATATTTAAGTCTTAATTATATATATAAATGTAAAATAATAATTTTATTTTTTAATAATAAAAATTCGTACTGTCTTTCTCTTCTAAAACTATAAATATAAAAGAAAATTCTGAAAAATCGAAGTTATGAAAAAAAAGGGTGGTAGTAATCTAACGGGCTAATCTGAAGATTCAATATAGTATTGTAATCTAACGTGTCAGTCGGTAAATGATCTCAAGATTCCTCTTTAGGATACCGCTTTTCAACGACAGGTGGACATTTTGATAAGAATCATAAAAATAGTACTATGGTTTATTTTGTTATATTATTCTCTGAAATTTTACATATTGTAAATAATTTTTTAACTCCGGTGACTAAATTATAAAATATAAATATTTTTTTTAGGAGCTAAATTGAAAATTTTATAAAAATTCAGAGATGAAATGATGTATTAAAACAAATAATACCGTATTTTATAATAAAAAACAGAAATAATGTATCTAATTATAACTTTATACTTAAATTAGAGATAAAATCAATCGTTAATTAAAAAATACAGGTACTAATTAAGTTATATAATTACAAATGTTTGAATGATCTAAAATATAATGTGTGTGATTGTTAGGTTAATATTAAAATATTTCAGAGTTAAATTAATAAAATTTAATATATACAAATAATTATTGAGGAAAATAATTTTATTATGAGTTATTTCTAAAGTAATTTGATATCTCTTCCTTTCATTGAAGGAATAAAGTTATTAAGAAATAATTGCTAATATAGTTACTTTGTTAATATTGTTTATATATATATATATGTGTGTGTTTTTGTAAATTGCAACAATTCATAAATTAAATTAAAAAATTTGTTAAATAGTTCAAGTTTATAATTTTTTTTAAAAAATAATTGATGTATTATTGAATAAATTCAGTTATATATATATATAAAGCGTAATTAAATAAGAGCTACACTCATGCACGATCAATTATGATTAAAAGTTATTCAATAATCACATGTCAGTTTTTAAAAAATAAAGCCATATAACATTACCTTTAAAACTTAACCGATCTAATCACAAAAGTTCACTATTTTTTTATTTATTTATAAAGTTATCAAAATGAGTTAAAATTGTGGATTAACTTGATTTATCACGAGTTTGGGTTTAATTGAATTAGAAAAACTTGATTTGTTTTGATAATGAGAGAAAATTGACTTGACTTATCATATGTTAACTCATGATGAGTCACTACATTGATATTAACATTTGTGATTATATGTTTAAACTATTTATTAAATTTTTTATATATTGGTTAAAAATTACAATAGTCAATACCAAATTGACAGTTTTTTTTTAATTTTTTTTATGTCACTACATTGATATTATAAATTAATTAAGTTAATTGTAGTTGATATTTATTTATTTTGACAATTTATTGTTATTATTATTATTAACACAGTTTTTAATTCTAAATACAAGAATAAAAGTAATATTTCATAATTAAGTTAATTATTATTTTATTTTAAATGAGTCGACCGGTAATGAACCAGATTGGATTCGTATTTTGGTTGGCTCACTGAAAAATGTACCGACTCGCCTTTTAAGCAATAAGTGAAATCCTGTCTAACTCACATTAGCTCTAGTCTCCTGTAATAAAAACACTCTCACGAACAGTCTCTTCGTGCTCTCTTTATTTGAGTTTCTAATCATAAATTTGCACCAGATTCTGAATCTCGAAAAAGTCTTCGTGTACGATAAATTTTTTTTCTTCAAATAGCAGTTTAATTAATGAATGAATGAATTAAGTGATCGAATCATGAATTGGATACCATGCAATTTGTTTAAAAAAATTAATCATAATAAATCGTGGTAAGCTTGTTGATCAAGATTATAAATATGGTGTTTGATTTGATGCGTGGTTTTCCTAGAAAATCCTCTTTTAAAAACAATTTTTTTAAAAATATGGATAATAATAATAATAGAGAGTCCGTATGAGAATTTTATTGCACATCTAGTCATAATGGTTACGCCACGAGTAATCATAAAATTCAAAGCTTACTTTACCACCCATATATCCATACTTATCAATATATAGCAGCAGTTAAATGGTGTAAATGAATATATAGTTAAAAAGTGAAGTAAGGAATAATGGATTAAGAGGGAAGAAATAGAAAGTTGAAAGGTGCGTCAACCAAAATTTCATTTGATACGATAGCATGCAATCTCTTTTTGAGCCATGCTAGCATAATATATATGATTAGCTAGCACTATCTTCTTTTGTCTACGAATTGAAATGCCGCATCTATATGCAACCTAACCTATATACCTTTTACACAAAATCTTGTGGTCCTCCTTTTTCACTTCCGCGGATGGATTTTTCTACTTTATGAAGCCAACTTTTCCAACATTGCTCCCTCACGTAGAATAGCTGTCCTTCCTTAAAGAATTATTGACACATTAGATATCGTTTTTCTGTCTAAACTTTTTGAAGCCAATCCATAATTTTCTTCCCCCATTACACCCACATGAATCTCCACTTTGTGACGGGTGTTTGGACTTTGGAATAGCCTTTGAGAGTTTTAAAATACGATTAAGAGGCACAAACATGGGGTGGGGTGGCATTTTCATTTAAATCATTTTTATTCTCATTTACTCAATTATATATAAATTAAAATTAAAACTAATCACTCAAATAGACACAAAATACAGCATCTCAATTGCTTTTGATGAGCATATTATTGCTAGTTTGATTTGATCGTATTTGATTTCTTCCTTAAGATCTATAATTTCGGTGAGGCCTACAGGACAGAAACCAATTCAATAATAAATAAAAAAAATTGATTATTTAAAACAATTTAATTATAAAACAAAAAGGTTAATAATCTCGAGTAATTTGAGTGGTGGACGTTTTGGATCCGTTATGTTAGCAATAGTATGGATATCATGAGATTCATAATTTGATATAGATGTCGTATCAGTAAAGAAAGTGTAAACAAAATCATGGATGTGGAAGTCCACATTCGATAGGTGGAGGAGTAGATCTTCATGCAAATAAGGATTTCGTATTGTCCATTACTTTTTCATCCGGCTTAATAATGCGGAATTTATTATGGAACATAACTTTAAAGTAGGGTCGATATTTATCTTCTCATAATTATCATCATACTTTTTTTATTTTTATATATTCATCGGATAATTATCATCATACTGATTTATACAGCACGAATGAAAGCAGAAACTTCTTATGTTGATCATTATGACCATGATGCCCTTGGCTTTGTCTCTGGCTTTTGGATTTTTTTGTTGAAATTTCAACTAATTGAACAATTACTATAGCAGCAACTGACTTGTTATACTCTATGAGATTATTATAATTTTTATTTACAATTATTATAGTTTTTGTCATCAATATTATTATTATTATTATTGATATTATTATTATTATTAACAATAATAATATTCACGATGATAACTACAATTTTAATATAATAATAATAATAACAAAGATAATGATAATAAAAAAATAATAAAAAATAATAATAATAAAATTGACGATAATAATAATAATAATAATATTAGAGATAAAAATAATAATAATTTTATAAAATTTAAATTTTTAGTGAATAAACATTATCAACTTAAATAAAATATTTGGTTGCATATTTAAAATTTATAACTCAACTAGTTTATCTTTAAAGTAGTGCTTACAAGTTTGAAAAAAAATCATTCTGTTATATGTAAATTACAAGTAAATATTAGTGGAAACAAAAGATTAAAAAATAGTTTTTATCAGAAAATTAGTTTGGTAAATTTAACTGAACTTAACTCTCTGATTATAATCTAAGCACATGCAATACGGATTTTGATTTACTATCATTTGATCCTATCTCATAAAGCATATTTAAAAAAAAATTATTTTTATCTTTTTTAATTAAGTATAAAATAACTTATACCAATACTCCTTTGAGATTTAATGAAATTGTATATAATGTTATTATTATTATTTATGTTTATAACAAGATCCTTCTAAGTGTGCAATGTTTTGTATAGAATAAAAAGAGGTTAGTGCAATGTTTTAAAAGTATTAATGCCATTTTTTGAATTACTAGGAAGAGTTAGTATAAAGGGAAAAAACAGATAATTTATAATGAATGTTGTGAATGGTGAGTATAAATTAGTCTTAAAATGGACATAATGAGTAGAGGAATTGCAAAGTGCAAAGCAAAGAGAGAGCAGGGGGTTGGAAAAAAGGAAGAAAATAGGTCTGCAAATTGTGGTGGTACTACAAAATTAGGTTAGCTATAGGTAGGCCTGAAACTGAAATTAATAATTAATAATTAATAATTAATAATTAATAATAATGATGTATCTGATAGAAATAGAATAGAATAGGGACTTGGTTTGTCTCTTTCACTCTTTTTAATACATCACAAAGTCAGTCTTCCACGTGCTCCTGGGGAGTCTCCCCTGTTTCACTACCCTACACTATACTCTATACTCCTTAGTTTACTCAAATCACTACTCTACTACTCTCTATGTGACTCACCATTAAACTTGTTTTCTTCATCTCTCTCTCTCTCTTTCAAGATGGAAGGAATGAAAGGAGGAGGAAGGGTAGCTGTGGGCGTGGGCGTGGGCGTGGCCGAGGATAACGACATGGCCGACGGAATGCAATGCAGCGACCACCCTTTCAGAACCAACCCCGGCGGGATCTGCGCCTTCTGCCTCCAAGAAAAGCTCGGCAAGCTCGTCTCCTCTTCCTTCCCTCTCCCCATCCGCGCCCCTTCCTCATCCTCCTCCTCCCCTTCCTTCAGATCCGACGCCGCCCCCTCCTCCTCCTCCGCCTCCCTCGCCGCCGCTCCAACCTCCGCACCCTCTCACTACCAACACTACTACGCCCGCCGGACCCGCCTTCCTTTCCTCCTCGCCAAGAAGAACAAGAAGACCAAGCCCTCCTCCGCCTCCGGCCCCGATATCAGCCTCAAGCGCAGCAAATCCACCGCCACTCCCCGAACAAACCACCACCCAATACCCATTCAGGATTTCAGCCCCAGAAAAAGAAACGGCTTTTGGTCCTTCCTCTACCTCTCTTCCAAGTCCTCTAAGAAACTCAACTCCCCCCCACCATCTGCTTCTGCAAAGCTTAAAGACAAGTGCTGCTCCGGCTCTTCTCTCAAAAACGACATTGTTCTCCAACAGGACAACGACACCAACACCAACACCAACACCACCACTGCTTCATCCTTCGACCGTAAGGTTTCTAGATCCAGATCTGTTGGCTGCGGCAGCCGAAGCTTCTCTGGTGATTTCTTCGAGAGAATCTCTACCGGCTTCGGTGATTGCACTCTCAGGAGAGTGGAGTCTCAGCGTGAAGGGAAACCGAAGGCCGTGGCGGATCACCACCACCACCACCACCATTGCATGAAGGAGAGAGTGCGGTGTGGAGGCTTGTTTAGTGGCTTCATGTTGACCTCCTCTTCCTCCTCTTCTTCCTCTTCATCCTATTGGGTTTCGTCTTCTGCTGATGACGCTGTCAATGGGAAATCGGCCACGGTGGCTCTGTCTCACAGCAGAGGGAGGAGTTGGGCTTGGGCTTTCGCCAGTCCTATGAGAGCTTTCAGCGGTAAACCCTCTTCTAAAGAGACCAACAGGAGGGATATTGTTAGAGACGCCAATGATAATAAGAATAATGCTGCGCCCAACTTATCTGCTATACCTTCCTTGCTTGCTGTCAGAGGCTGAGAACAGCATTTCAGGGCTTTAACCGCTTTATTATACACATTAGTATCATGTTCATTACTGTCTATTATTACTATTTTCTTTATCTTGTGGATGGATGAGTGTTAATTTAATTTCCTTCCTTAGTAATCTAATACTTTTAAGCACTTTCTTTCGTTTACCATACTTGCTTGTTATGAATAATTATGATGAATGATCGTCGGCTATGGCAGTGTTTTGAGAAGAAAATCTCGATGCATTTATTCTCTGTCATCATGTGGCGTGTTTCAAGTGTGACACTGGTTGTAAATTTTGTAGCTAGCGTCCTTCTTGTAATTCACACTGTCATGTTATGTGTAATTTTTATTTGCCAAAATCACTGTTCACATGCATACACATGGATGGGGGTGTTGTGGCCACAACGGGGAATCACTCTCAGCCATTTAATAAGTTGTTAATGAATAATGATGTGGTATATATATTTTTTTCCTTAATGAAAATAACTTGTGATTATTAATGTGTTGTTTCTTAGCTTCTTTTTATTTTCAAGAGTTCCTTAACTAGTCAAATGCAACATGGTTGTAACAGATGTGGTCCCTGATCGGGAATTGGTATTTAAGAAGTGGATCTTGTTGTAATCATATACAGCGGAGCATTTATTCAAACGGTCTTGTTTGCACCTAATTGCTGAATGGCACTCCAAGTAATTGTTTACCGCATTTATCTCTGGAGATAGCTGTATCGAAAGCCAGCGGTTTTGTTTATAGTCATGTACTCATGTGCCTTCGAAAGTGCATTAAGCAGCAGAGCTTTTAAACTATGTTGGCAAAAAAGGTTTACTTTTCACAGTCATTTAATATTTAAGTGTGGTGATAGACTACTGAAGCACGCTACATAATTATATTACTATTTTTGGGAATCCATCACAAATCGACATGGACGGGTAGGACTTGTACAGGGGAAAAGAGACACCATGAGAAGAAGTCTTGCTAATTGCCTAATTCTAATAACAGGTTGCTACTTGTCATTGCTAACCTAAATTAACGCCTGTCAAATGTCTATGAATCTCAGTTTGTAACATTTAGCATTTCTCGGTCATGAAACATGTTACATCATCTAACAAATAAATAAACAAAAACTGATAATATTTTAAACTGAAATATAAAGATATTTTAATTAATTTTACCGTATTTAATTTTTGGAATCAGCATTTCTGGCCTAATGCTTGCGATTTTTTTTTTCTTCAGAAATTAATTGTTGATTTTTAGGGTAGATAAGATTAATATTACAGTTAATAAAAAATATTTTATTGAACTATAATTATATTTTTAGTGATATTTTTTAATTTTATATTAATTTTAATGAAGAATAATATGTAGAAAAAAACTTTATTTTTAGACAAAATATAAAGTTAAATAATAATAAATTTTTTTAATTAGTGTATAAATTATAAATTAGCTAATTTTGTTTATATATCACTATGAGTACGAGTATAGTATCAGATTTTTCAAAGAAAAGTTACAGGAGCTCTTGTACAATAATTTATTAAATATATAATACAGTTTATATAAATAAGAGATAAGGAAAAATAGAGGAAAATATTAAGTAAGAAAAATGATGCGGCCACTAAACTAGTATAAAAAGTTATTTTCTACATTGATTGTTGCCAGCATTAATGTAAAACTTTTATTAACTTAGAAATAATACTTTCTATATTTGTTATGGTAAAAAACATTAGAAAGTGAATACGTTTTATTTTGGTTCTTTCCATACACGATTGGAAAATGATTTTTTTTACATTGATTTAAATATAAAATTTTATATTAACTACTCAAACTCAAACTGAATCCTGTCTTGTGTATGCAGCCGCGTTAAATCTTGGGGCCAGCTATCCCACCCTTTGAGGTGCCTCTAACGTAGCGAGGAGATTAGTACGTCACTGCTGTCGGCTGTGGATACTCCAGGGACGAACAAAAAAAAAAAAACTCAAACCCTCTCTCATTAGACCAATCCTACTAATTTGAATTTATAATAAGTTAGAATGTGAAGTTATGAAGATATTAGATTGGGTGACATTTTTCACAGACTAAACAAATTTAATATAAAGTATCTATACTAAAGAGTGCTTATTATATAAAAAAAATCACATTTAATGTGCTCAAATAATATTTTTTTGACCAATTATATGGACATGTAAGAAAATTATAAGATTTAATAACATGACTTGTATTATCAAAATTGATTATATTTATCTATCAACACTCCATATAAAAAAATATTTTAAATTTTTTTACTATTTATTTTGTAAGTAATATTAAATGTTTATCTATCAAATATTTTCAAATATCACACACCCCTAAATCTTAAAAACACACTCTATCTTAAACCCTAAATCATAAACCCTAAATATACATGTGTGCATACCCTCACCTAAATCCTAAATCATCCGCACACATATACATAGAAAGTGACTTTTTAAATCACTAATCACTAAATTAAATATTATATAATGTTCTTTAATTAAATAATAAATATTTTTACACTTAAATTAAATAATAAATAATTATTCACTAAAATTAATAAAATAATTTAATTTTAGTTAATAATATTAAAACTAAATTTTATTATAAAAATATTTATTGAATCAAATGGTTTAAATAATAATTATATTTAATAACACTACTTACAATTAAATAATCTGTAAAAAATCATAATAAAATGAATAATTTTCCTCAATATCGATTCATTAACAAATATAACATAATGTTAATATTTTTACTCAGTTTTTTTTTATCGATTAATGTTAATATAAGTCAATAAATATATTAATTTTTTATAATAATTGAGTTTCTGAAGAATAGACTTCACAATTAAAGGATAAAAGAAATAGTAATTAATATATTTAAAAATATTTATATATATATATATATATATATATATTTATAAAAATAAAAGAATACACTCTTCTTTTATATAAAAAAATCAGATAATAACTTTTAATTTTAATAATTTACGCAAACATATAGTCTAAGTTTACTCAACACTCTCATACAAACACTTGTATCATTTAATATGTTGCTATATAAATCTACTAATTTTTTTAGGGAAATTCATTTTTGTAATGTAAAATCTGAAATAATATGATTTGTGGGTGGTTATGTTAGCTTTATTTTACTTGATAGTCTTATTGATCCGATGACCAATTCTTAAATTTTTAATTATATTATAAATGTATTTGGTAAAATTATAATTTAGTAAAAAAATTATAAGTAGAATTTTGTTTGTTTTAAATGATGTCCAACTCTAGAATTTTATCTTTTAGACATGATATAGAACAATATAATTATAATATTTGTGTAAAAATAAATATTGTTCTACCATAATATAATTTTAATTTAGTAATTTTTAAAAACAAAAATAAAGAGTGGGGATGTATTTACTTAACTTGAACCGACCAATTTATAATTAAGTTTGATTAATTCATACTTTTAGATTTTGGTATTAATTGGAGATTTGGTGAAAAAAAAAGAAATTGAAAAATAGAAGGGTAAAATAAAAAGGAATTGAAACTAAAAAGAGAAAGAAGCAAGGTAGTGAATTTGGGGAAGATAATATGAGTGAAATCATGATGGGGACACGAGCCTTTGATGGGAAAGTACAGAAATGCAACGAGACAGAGGAAAGCTGTTCAGGGAACACTGTTTATGTCATCGCCCAATTCAGATATATAATTAAGACCTGGACCACCATACTTGTACTTCCAACCATCATAAATATTTAAGAAAATTATTAATTTAATTAATAGTATTAAATTTATAAATATTTTTTTAAAGTTAATTTTAACGTATTTTAAATTATTTTTTTTTCTTTTTACTTGATCATTTCTCCCCTAATCCATTAATATTTAAAAGATAAATTTTTTATGTACTTATATATCTTTTCCAATCTTAATAAGAGAAAGAAAGAGAGAAAATCTTTATTTATTTAATTCATTATTTTTTATCTAAAAAAATTGTTGATAAAATAAAAAATATTTTAGATAAGATATAATTAATAGTTAGACATACAAAGGAAGAAATAAAAAATAAGAGAAGAGTTTTTTTTAGAACAAAGGTGGTAATACTTACAAGTTACAACATGTTTAAGAAAAAAGAAAAAACTTTTATCATATTAGATCAGATAGATTTTCACCATAAATTTTTTTTTTTCAGTCGTCTCCTTTCACAGCTTTACATTGCCTTCTTTGGTCAGAAAAGGCTAAAGTAAAACTAACTCTATACAATGCAATTCTTACAAGTGAATGAAACACATGTAAGCCATATAAATATATTAGCATGATTTTATGCCTGATTGTTTTTAATAAGAATAATGATAATTGTTCACTTAAAAAATGGAATAGATTCAAGTGGGAACGAGTTTTTTTTTATTTTTTTTATTTATAATAAGAGTTTAAATAAGGCAACAAACAATTTTATAGAAAGTTAAAATGAATTACCAATCTATTTGAAGGTTTTTAAGTGAAATTACAAATTATTTCTAACATAAATTGGTGCAAAAATAAAATATAATTAAAGTGGAAAAAAAATCAAAAGTGAGAATGAGAACATGGTAGAAAGAAAAAAATAGTGAAAATAATGACAAGTGAGATGCAAAAGAAAAAGAAAAATAGAAGAAAAAGAAAATGGTAAAATAAGATGGAGGAAAAATAAGTGTATGATAAGTTATTGCATGAGTTAAAATCAACTTATACACTTAGAATATGTTTGGATAATTTTTCAATAAACATCTATATATAAAAAATACAAATCCAAATCAAATTGAATAATTTTTTCTTGACTAATTTATATTTTATTCTCCTTAAACTGAAACCAAATCGGCCGTACTCACTCCTATTCTACAAGGTCATGTTTTAAATATAAATTACTTTAACCTAAATTTTTTGGGGAAAGCATGCATTGTGGTTGTGGACATGCTCAAGTTCGGTCTAATCGTTTTGTATAGTCTTGAGATTCATGACAAAAAACATGGAACCTTTCTTCCTTGCAAGTCACATGAAAATTAGATATTGTTGTTTTAATCATAACTTGAAGATTAGTTTTTTCATCATATATTTTGAAAATTCCAGACGAAAAACTCTAAACAACGTAAGAAAGAAGCGATTCTCAACCGATTATTATACTAATTCCATGGCCCTACGGTCTTGTCCTCTGCGTTTACTTAATTGAACTAATACGACTCTCAAGTCGCAACCATGCTCTTTTCACTTCTCTAGCTTCTATTGGGAAAAAACAGAGTATAATTATTTGAGGACCCATGGGTCCACTTATTTTTTGTGTTTTCTGAAATTTGGGCTCAGCAACGGAACATGGCTTTCAGATTCAGTGGTTACTTTTTGTAACATCTTTTCTTGTTAATGGTACAATCTTTGTTTTTTTTAACAGACATTTTAAAATTATCCTATTTAAATAAGATCCATTAGTCCTTTTTTCTTTTCTTTTCAAAATATTAATTTTATAATATTATAAAAGAAAGTTAATACATTACAAAATTAAATTTCTGAGAATTTAAAATATTCTAAAAATGTTTTCAAAAAAGTGATATAAATCACTTTTGGATTTTTTTATAGAAATAATTTGTAAATCTCTGATGAAATTAAACAAAATTATTTTTTGGATAAAAAATATAAAAAAAATAATAATAAGAAAATGGCGCAACTAATAAAAATGGTTCAAAAAATAAAAACGTCCATGTTCTTTATAATGTAGGTCCAACCAACAATTCAATAGACAATAGTTCTCTGTCCTTTGGGGAGGGATTTGTACAAGATGACATAAACTCTTAAAGCTTTGAAAAGGAGAATCATAATTGAACTGTTTACTACTCTGAATTAATTGAACCGAATCAATAAGTGCACCCTAACTTAGTTAATTCCAGATGATTTATCTGGTGTAAAATTGAAGGAGCATTCAATAATAGTCTAATATTCACTGTTTACTACTAGGGGAAAAAATGAGACATGAGTTCCATGTCTCATCGTAAAAATAACTAATAAATAATAATAATAATAATAATAAACGATTAAATAAGAGGGTGTATAATTAATTTTATAATAATAAATAATCACGTGTATTAGTTAAAAGTTAAAAGAATACAAAACAAAAATATGAATACCAAAATATCATATTCTCATTATTGATCGTAATAGATTATAAAATGAGTTTATACTTTTTTTTAAAATGATATAGTATATTTATTAATGATTATATTTTCAATTTATTTTTTTTTAAAAATGATGTAATATATAAAGTAGGGTTAGATATAAATATTGTCTATGTAATTTATCATTTTTTTTAACTTTTAATCCTTGTAAATTTTGTTGTTATTATTTCATTCTTAATCTTTCATAACATTTCAAAAATAGTTATTATCGTTAATTTTTATTAAAAAATGAAATATATATTATATTCGTTATATTTATATGTAGGTAAATTAATTTTAATTTTTTTAGATAAAATTTTAAAATGTACTTCATTATTATCATTTTATCGTACTTTTCACACGTATCTTCTTTGGACTATGGAACATCACATCTTGGCTATTATAGAGTTGAACCATCGACCTCTCTTCTGTGATGAGATGTCCCACTTGTTGCTATTGTGACGATCACTATAGGTTATGATGATATTGATAGTCTTGAGTCAACCAACACACTTCTTTTTAACCTTAGAAAAAGCGACATTGACAGTGATGTCAATAGAGTGGTAGACGTTCTTGCAAAGGGTAGTCGATCCACAAGTTTAAAATTTTTATTTAAGTAAACCACACCCACGCCAAGTCACATGTGTCTGACATGGAAGAGACAAAGAGCCTTTGAGTCAATTATGCCTGCATAGATAATACTATGTCCGGCCTCATTCAGGTAAAGAATAGAGAGTCTCTGCCTGATTCATGTTTGGCATCATCATGGGATTCGATATCACTTAATTAGAGAGTTCATTAACTCACCACGCCCAATACTATCATCCTATGTCTACTGTAACTAAGTCAGAGAGTTCCTCACTAATTCACGCTCAGCACTATTAATCCTATATCTAATGTGATCAAGACAGACAATCCTTAACTTGAGTCACATTCGACGCCATAAAAACATGCCTCTTAACAAGCCATCATTAAAATCGATTATATTATGGTTAATGTAGATAACACTTTTTTAATTGGTTCCAACTATAATTAATGTAAAATTTCATTTTTAAATTATTTTCTCTTAAAATTAATTTAGAATTTGGTTATTAAAATTAAATGATTTTATAGATTGGGATGGTCACTTTGTATTTGCTGACTGCTGTTATGGTTACTTGTGATTTCATATCATTTCTGTTTATTAATAAAATTAACTGTTTTTGCCTTTAAAAAAAAAAAATTCTAGATTGGTTCTTTGCGATAGAAATCTAAAAATTTAGTATAAATTATCTCCCTTCATATTCAGCCTCAGGTGTCGATGTCAAATTTTGTTGGCCACCTGTTTGGTTTGTTCATGGAAGTTCAGTAGTTCACAGACAACTTGGTACTGTTGCACTCTTTTCCATCTGTGTTTGACACACAATAATATTCCATCTGAAATATGAGATGAAGAAGTAGGCGCATTGCATGCATAATTTGTCTTTAACTGAACACCGTCAACATTATCAGTGACATTCCAAATTATAATCATGATGGCTCATATGTGAGCACCGTCAACATTATCCGTGACCCTCCTTCCTGCTTCTAACTGCAACTAGATAAGGGGGGCACTCCTACCAAAATGTTTATTTTCAGGAGCAGAATTTAAATAAAAAAAATGTTTCTCATTGTTCTATTATTCTTTAGTTTAATAAAAAATTTAACTCATTTTCACTGAATTAATTTATATAACTAAAATAGTAATTCACTAGTTCGAATGATTTCATATCTAAACTGAGAATAATTTATAATTTCATTATTTATTATAAAAGTTTAATTTAATTAATCATTTAATTCTTGTAATAGTGTATATTTTTGTTAATTATTATTTATTTTATTAATAATTGTGTTATAATGATTTGGGGTTATTATTGAGAACTATGAGAGTTTAGGAATTTTTCTGGATAAAAGATAGAAAGTTGTATTAAATTTTCTTTAAGTTTGAGTTTTATAAATTTATTTTTAAAATTTTTAGAGAGATAAAATTGTGAGAGGAGCTTTGGAATCATAACTAACTTGGTTTCTTTCTGATTCTATAGTGGACCTCTGATTCCTTCCTCACAGCTTTTGTGAATAATAGAGTAGAAATCTTGGGCTGAAAATTTGGAGTGTTGATGCTCATTCTTCTTCTTCGTCGTTTCACTTTGATTCTTGTTGGATTGTTTGAGTTGCATATTAATTGATTTCATTTAAAAATGTTGGTTGATTTGGACTGTCACCAATATACTCCAACTAAACACATGACATATGGTAAGAGTATGTTTGCAATTTCATATATATATATAATTTTTATTTAAGATATACTTCTTTTTATTATTTTATTTTATGTAAATTTTTTGTATACAAAATTATCTTTCTTAATTATTAAATACCTAAAGTAAATCATTTAACTTTTTTTTTTCTTTTTTTGTTAGTTCAGTATCTTTCCTATCAAGTAATATAATTAGTTCAAGAAAAATAAGAAAATAAAAAAGAGATAATAAAAAGAAAAATAAGAAAATAAGATAATTTTGTAGGTTGTTTTGCTGGAAGAAGAAGAAGAAATATGAAAAGAAAAAAAAAGGTTAAATAAGTAAATATTACGGTAATTCAGTTTTTAATTATAAAAGAAAATTGTTCCAAATTTGTAAGGTAAACAAGTATAAAACCATAACGCAATCATTTTTTCTCTGTATATTTTATATATAAAAAAAAATCTTTGAAAAATTCGTGGTTATTTTAGTACTTTTAATTGTGCTATTAACGTTTGGAATATGTGCGTACGCTGTTTTTCTTTTTGATCTTGCCGGTAAGAGAAACGAAAAAATAAGCTTTTAATTAATTTAGTTTAATTTTAAGAAGAAAAAATGTAGATAGAAAAAGAATAGTTAATAAGAAGCGAGTTAAGTTAAATATTTAATATGCTATGTCTAATAATAATACTTTGGTTTAGATAGATTGATTGAAATTTGAAAGTAAAGATAGCGCTGTGATGCAGAGAAATATAATAAACGAAAACATAGTCCTCGGTGTTTAGCTTAAAGGTAGTATTTTAGGGTACATATATAGGACATAATTTAACATAACATACTTGAACAAAAGCCTTTATTTAGTTTATCTTTTATTTAGGTTAGCACTAGCAGCCATAGCATAGCTAGGTCTAGTGGGTTAATCTGAGCTTGTGGTTGAGCAACATGTTGCGGAGATCCACAGGGTCGATTTCAAGGGTGTGATTAATGGGCCTGTAGTAGCCTGTTACTGGATCCGGGGCCCAAGCGGAGTAGGCTTCTGAACCATCTCTTTTTACGGGCTTGTCTTCTATATTGCCCAATCCAACTCTTAGCGGAACATCCGACGCAACAGCATAGCCTCGCCTATCCATACCCCATACGAGGAAACGTTAAAATTTACAATTCATCAAACAAAGTGATAAGGTATGAAAAGTGAAACTGACCGAAGCGAGATAGATTGAGCAAGCAGAGAAAGACGTCTGGGCAGCGAGAGAGAGCGTGACATGTTATGTTATATGAGCTGCTGCGAAAACTATCAAGTGTTTGGACTTGAAGAAGCTTTCGCAGCCACCCCTTGCTTCTTCTTCTCTCTCACTCTCTCATTTAGGGTTTCTGTCGTCTTTTATAGTTCTATTTGAGAAGATAGAGTTAAGTGTGTGGGTGCGTGGCGTCACTTGGGTTTTGTTATTTCATGCATTAAAAAAATGAAATCATACATTTCAATGTTTTAAAGTGGATAATCAAACACACTTACAGATATTAATATATTGTAGTGATTATACATTTTTTATTTATGAAAAAATTTATTTAATAAAATATCATATGCTAGTATTTTATATTTGTTATGTGTGCCATTATATATTTTTTAATTATTATGTTTTTATCAGTAATTATGTGATGTGTGATATTTTGAAGTGTGGTTGAGAGACTTTGAGAATTAAAAAACTATAAATCTTTAAATATTTTAAAGGATTTCTCTAGTAAAAAAATTTAGTTTGACTCTATAGAGATAAATATATACACGGTTACAATGCTAGATAGACCGTTGAATCAAATCAGATTATATGAAACATGTACAATAGAATAGCATTTTTAATTTCCTATTTTTTTAAAAATTATTAAAATAAATTGTTTTTTATCACATTTTATTTTGTGTCGCTATGGCCTACAGCGCCCAAGAGTCGCTGTAGGCCACAACGCCACATTATTATTATTAATGTGAGAGATAGAGATGAGAGAAGAGTGCAAAGTGTTTTATCCTGATTCAGCCACTCCACATGTGACCTACATCCAGTCCTTAATTATAACCTGATCAAGATTTGTTCCACTATCTCAATGAAGAAGTTTTACAAGCATACCACACATGCATATACTCCAACATTCAAGATAGACACTTTCTTGCACCCAAGAAAGCACTTCTTGTAGAAACCCACTACAAGAATTCCTTATCACTTGAGACACCTACTTAAGATTTCTTTACACATTACATAAAGAATTAAAGAAACAAATTCACCTGGAAGCTGAACAAATCAGACTGTGAATTCTTGACAAATCTTAATCCTTCTCTTCCAAGAATGTAGTGATGATGATGATTTCTCTCAAAGCATTTCACAAAAGTTTTTCTTCTTAGTTTCACATCGAAAACACTCTAAGAAGTTCACAAAGACTTCACAAAATCAGTTTTACTCTCTTCTATTTTTGTTCATCTCTCTATATTTTTCTTTACTTGATCCAAAGTGTGAAAACTATTTATAAAGTTTTCCAAACCCAGATAATCGATTATTTTTAAGGATAATCGATTATTTTGCTCTTCATGAGTTTTAGAAATCACTCAAGAATAGAATAATCAATTATTTTGCAAGATAATTGATTATTCCAAAGAGAACTTCCTGAAATAATCAATTATTTCTCAAATAATCGATTATTACAACAAGGTTCCCTGAACCTCTTGCTGGAATAATAGATTATTCATAATGATAATCGATTATTTTGAGTTAGTTTTCAAAAACTCAATTTCACACTTTAGAAAACTTTCCAAGTCATTTAGATCATCATCATACTCATTCTTAGTCAATCTAGATTAAGATTAACTCATGCACAAAGCATACACATGCAAAATAAACTCAACAAGGCAACATAACACATAAGAACATATAAGATACTCTTATTACATATTATATTCTTTCATGATCTTCATGTGTTTCTTTCTTGATTAGCTTGTCCTTTGTTATTAGCTTGTGTCCTTTGTTATCATCAAAACTCTCAGAACTTCAGAGTTGAGTTTGATTCATCATCCATGAATCTCAACAATCTCTCCCTTTTTGATGATGACAAACCAATATGTTTTGCCAACCAATATAAGTAGCTTGTTCATGCCTTGTTAGTAGACAAATCTGCAAAACAAATTCAAAACCTTTCATCCCTTTTTGACAACATCAAAAATATACAAAAGAACTTATAAAAGAAATATGTCCAAGTTTAGAGAAACAAGGTTGCATATTTCATATGTACATATGCACAAAAATTATTTGTCCAACATTCATTCCACAATACATAAGTGTCTAACATTTCATACATAATTGATTCCAATAAATAAGTCACACATGTTCTCATGAGCACTATTTCATATGCACCAGAAAACATTAACAAATATGCATCAAGTGCATCACAAATGTATACTAATGCTCAAACCAAAATAACCATGATTAGCCAATATCAAAACACAGCCAAATTCAATTTGTACCAAAATTAAATTGTTCAATAACAACAACCAGATTGAAAATTAAACAAAACACAATTGTTCGTGAATTAAAAACCATTACAACCAAATTGAAACTTAGAACTAGGAATTTTAAAAATTGAAATTAAAACTAGAAACTCCTAAAAATAGAACACATCACTCTAAGTCATCTTGAATCCCTAACTGAGCCTTAATCCTTGCAATCTCATGATCAAGGTTATAAAACTGATCAAGAATGCTAGAATATTATGACTTATGCTTCCTCGTCATCTCCATGACAGCATCAAGCTTGTTTATCATTATTTGCTCAAACGGAGAAAATGCCTTAGGCTCCGATTGGTGCTCTTGTTCCGGTTCAAGTTCCACTTGAGGTGGCTGATCCTCATCATGAGATGGAACACCATCTTCATCAGTTGTCGGTTCAAGTGTAGGTGGAATATCTCCCTTGAATATCCATTTATCCTCTTGCTTTAACATTCCCATGTGATGCAAAAAAGATTTCTCAATTTTATTTGAAGCATGAAGAATAAACTCAACAAGGCAACACAACACATAAGAACATATAAGCTACTCCTATTACATATTATATTCTTTCCTGATCTTCATGTCTTCCTTTCTTGATTAGTTTGTCCTTTTTTATTAGCTTGTGTCCTTTGTTATCATCAAAACTCTCAGAACTTCAGAGCTGAGTTTGATTCATCATCCATGAATCTCAACAGTAACTACTAGACACTCTCTAAAAGAAGCATGCAATAATATGGCTTTTGTTTCTAAGATAGAAGTTAAAAGCATTGATGAAGCCTTAAATGATGAACATTAGATTAATGTTATGCAAGAAGAGTTAAATCAGTTTAAGAGAAATCAGGTATGGGAACTTGTTGATAGACTAAGTAATCATCCAATTATAGGAACAAAATGGGTTTTCAGAAATAAACTAGACGAACATGGCATAGTAATAAGAAACAAAGCTAAACTAGTTGCTAAAGGATATAATCAAGAAGAAGGCATAGATTATGAAGAAACATATACACCTGCAACAAGACTAGAAGCCATTAGAATGTTACTAGCCTATGCATCAATAATGGATTTCAAACTATATCAAATGGATGTCAAAAGTGCTTTTCTAAATGGTTTTATTCAAGAAGAATTTTATGTTGAACAACCCCTAGGATTTGAAAACTCGGAATTTCCAAACCATGTCTTTAAGTTGAAAAAGGCTCTATATGGATTAAAACAAGTTCCTAGGGCATGGTATGAAAGACTAAGTAAATTTCTTTTGGAAAAAGAATTTACAAGAGGAAAGGTTGATACAACATTATTTATCAAAAGAAAAATGAATGACATTCTTTCAATGAAAATTTCTGTTGATGATATTATTTTTGGAGCTACTAATGATTACTTGTAAATTTAAAGTTTTTAATGTATAGATCAAATTTACAAATTCTTAAGAAAATTGAAAATTATTTGACACTTTGTTTCATTAATTCAAATCAATGTATAAAATGATTTTATGGTTATCCATCAATTTAAATTAATGAAATGAAGTATCAAATGATTTTCAAATTTTCTAAAAATTTGCAAATTTAATCTATGTATTAAGAATTTTAAATTTTACGGTTGGATCGTCAAAATTTGATGTAGAATATGAATTATTGAATGAAGTAAATCTAGATAGACTTATTCTTATAATAAACGGATCACTCATATACATATATATATATATATATATATACTCAACTACTTACTATATATTTAAAAAAGGACATCTACACGTATAAATTTGAAATATGAAATTTAAAGAATATATTATTCTTTTTAATTACTAAGATAAAGATGCTATTAGCGACAAGAGTAGAGCTAAGCTGAGGAAGATATATCACTACACACTAACGTTACCTTCAAGCAATTAAGATAATATTTTAATTAACATCAAATCAGATACATGCACCAATGGTTATGATTGATAATGTTAATTAAAAATTTTAATTTATTGTTTTAATAAATATCAAATTGATACAATTTGAAAAAAAATTATAAAATTATATTAAAAATAAAATTTGCAAAGTAAACGGATTCTGCATTCATTTCCAGCCACACGACTGGAAAGAAAATTAGTTTTTCTTATACGGGAATTATATACGATAGAATTATGTCAATTTTTAGGTTTAAAAAATTAATTAAATAGGTTCATTTCTAAATTTATAAAATATATTTAAAAAAATCATCACCAAGCTATGTGAAATTAAATTAAATTAATTCTCACTGGCGCACCCGGTTCATACGAAATGGTGGGATTATCATATAATGGTTTATTTTTTATTTACTTCCTCAAATTCAACGCAACCATGATAAGGATCGAAATGATTAAAATAAACTCGGGTCACCTTCATGATTTGGACACCTTTCTTATCTTATCTACTGCTATATATGTCTTATAGTGACGAGGATATTTTTTTAGCTAAAAAGTTTATTGATAATTAAAAATGTATAATACACATTGACGTTTGTGGCTAAAGTGATCCCAAAACCCCTATTGAATTTACCAGGAAAAAAAATGTATAATTTTTAGTTTGTGAAGGCTTGTAAAGTGATTATGTGGTCACATGGAGTGAACATATATTTTGGAGATGTAATTTAACTTGTTCGCGTGGATGTGTAATAGACTAATAGATTATGTGGCCACCTAGAAAGTTGAAGAGGAAAATGTGCATTTTAATCAATTATGTACTCACATCACCATTTCTATACGCCACGCGACTTTATTAGAATGAGACTTTAGAATTATAGCTTATGCGGCGTCATTCTCTCACAGTTTGGACATTAGATAGTGAAGTCAAATTTGAACTTATTCACCATAATCATTGATGTCTTACAAATTATAAACGATGACGTTTTAATCTTATATTATGATAGTGTTTTAATTATGTATTTTAATTTATAATATAAAATAAAATATTTACGTTACTTATAATTTTAGGGACAAAAATAATGATTCACGTGTACTTAACTGTCGTCAGCATATTCACCAAAAAATTAAAATAAAAAAAATGTCGTCTGCACAATGTACATTATTTACCGACCGCTAAACGTTGTTGGGCCAACCTCGTACCCAAAATATAAAATGGACTGACCTTGTGTAGTGTCCTATATTCTTTTGAAATTAGGCTGGGCTGGGCTGGTGTGGAGATGTGGACATTAAGTTTGACTAGGGCCTGCTTTAGAAATAATAGGTGTTGGACCAAACAATACACAGAATTAAAAACAATTGACATGTAACTTCGTTTGACTTTGGAGTTTGAGCTCATTCACATTGACCCAAGTGTCTAATAAAACCTTGGTACTTGAGATGAAGTAAAAATAGTAAGAAGAACTGTTTACACCAAGGGGAAAAAAGAACGCATTCCGCAATATATGATTGTAAAACACATATACAGACAAATACAAGAAAAAAAAAAGTATTTTCTCCCCTTGTCAGGGATGCTGTTTATTTTGCTACGAGAGGTATAAATATGAATCTCATTTAATGACTAATACATAGATATCTAATGTAATTCAAAATGAGCTACTGAAGCCAAATTTGTTACACGTGTTTATTTTGACTAACTTTTTTCACGTCTGTTTTCTACCTGATGAGTTTATAATCTATGCAGATACAGCTTTGCCCCCAGTGAGTTTTGACTCACCAAACAATCTTTGCCGGAAATCAGTGACCATTAGAGGAAGTCCCTCACGGAGGGACACAGAGGGTTGCCATCCAAGAAGCTCCTTCGCTTTGGAGATGTCTGGCTTCCTCTTATGTGGATCATCTTCTGTGTTTGGTCTAAACTCTATCTTCGCATTTGGGTCTATAGTCTCTTGTACCACCTGCACAACATTAATTTAACATAATATGCATTTATGTACATGCATGCACATTATGCTGACCACAGTTAAGTCACACAAAAATACATACAGTACCTGAGCCAATTCAAGCATGGTGAATTCACCAGGGTTGCCAAGATTGAAAGGACCAACATGCTCACCTTCCATCAACCGCATTAAGCCTTCAACCTGTCACGTAGAGCGTAAAAGAAAAAAAAAAGTTTGAAAAAAACTAAGTTTCTTATTGCTATTATTCCATATCGAACGTTTTCCGTTAAATCCATTGAAATTGAAATGAGAAAAAAAGTCAGAAATATTTAGCTTATTTAGTCTTTTGTTAAAAAGTGTACCATGCTTGCATCGCGAGAGGAATTCGTGATCATACGTTCTCATACCATACTCTCCTCCAATAAGACAAACTGATATTAATATTCAATTTTTATATGAATAAAACTTTACCAGGTCTGAGACATATTGAAAGCTTCTTGTCTGTTTTCCATCGCCATAAACAGTCAATGGCTCCTTCCTCAACGCCTGTATAGATTTAAAATTGTTGTCGTAATAAGTTGAAGGCACGAAAAAGTGTAGTGAGAGCAACAACAGCCAATAAATAAGCTCCGCAAAAGGAAAAGAATAAATAAATATAGAAAAGCAAGTGGCAGAGCATTACCTGAGCAACGAAGTTACTGACTACACGTCCATCATCAATGCACATTCTGGGCCCGTAAGTGTTGAAGATTCGAGCAATCCTCACCTGCACAACAGTTACGTCCAACCTCTTCATTTACATTTCTGCAACCACATTAAATACGAAAAACAAAAATGTGATGGATTGTGAAGAACAACCTCAATACCCGCGCCTCTGTGATAGTCCATAGCCAAAGTCTCTGCAGTACGCTTGCCCTCGTCATAACAACTCCTGACGCCTACAACATGTGAAGTTTGTAGTGTGAGTGTGAAAAAAGAAGAAGAAGAAAAGTGGAGGAATAGAGAAAGAGTAATGCATGATTACCGATGGGGTTAACGTTGCCCCAGTAGGTCTCAGCCTGAGGGTGCTGAAGGGGATCACCGTAGACCTCACTGGTGCTTGTCAACAAAAAACGTGCACCTATTCTCTTAGCCAATCCGAGCATGTTGAGCGTGCCAACGACATTGGTCTTGTGGAATGGAAAGGAAGATAAGAATGAAGGATATTCCAATAATAAGAATTATATGAATATGAAGAAAATGATAAATAAAGTTAAGAATGAAGGATATGATGGTCTTGACGGGGTTGAACTTGTAATGGACAGGGGAAGCGGGGCAGGCCAAGTGGTAGATCTGGTCAACCTCGAGAAGGATGGGTTCAACGACGTCGTGTCGAATGAGTTCGAAGTTGGGGTTCCCCATGTGGTGCAGCACGTTCTCTTTCCTTCCCGTGAAGAAGTTATCCACCACGATCACGCTATCGCCTCTTTCCATCAAACGGTCCACCAGATGGCTTCCAACGAAACCCGCTCCACCCGTCACCAGGATCCTCTTCTGCTTTCTGCTCTTCACTCCCAGAGGAACCCTTCCCTTCTTCTCCGACGACGCTCCTTCCAACAGCACGCGCCGAGTCGGCAGAGCCAACTCCGTTTCCAGGAAGGACTCGTGGGGGGCGGCCACTAGGGACCCAGAAGGGAGGAGGTGGAAGAACACGCTGGCGATGGCCACCCCCACCAGCAGGAACGGCAGGCGCTGTCGGATTGGGTTCATCGGCGTGGCTGAACCGGAACTGCGATTGGGGGGTTCTGGTGTCTGCGTTGTTCTGTGAATGAGCTCTGAGGTCATCTTCTTTCTCTCTCTCTCTCACTGACAAATGACAATGTGAATGAATTGTGATGGAGATGGTGTCAAGTTTATTTGTGATGCATGAAAATTGGCTTTATAATCGCTTCAACGTGCATGCGCGGAATTCCTGCCTTGTCTCTCTTCATTTGCAAATTTGAGGTTTCCATTTCCCCCTTTTTTTGCTCTCCTTTTTTAGCATAAGCAAGTCCACGACCAGTTTCTTCATACTTGGGCACTTGGCACATTCCCATACGCTGCTCAAAAGTTTCTGTATTCTCAAGACTCACACATGCATCTCTACGTCATGTCTTCACCATGCTCATGCTGCATGTATTATTCCTTCTACTTTATTTCAGATTTAAGATATACTACGTACTATGCATTCTTTTTATCACATTACTTTATTTATCTTTAATATTATTGGTTATAATAAGATAACACTATTGGTTATAGTTCATTTTATTGTGCTAAAAATAGTTTATTAATGTTATATATACATATATGATTTTGTTATGTCATCGGGCTAAATTCCCCTAATTAAAAAACATGTTTAAAAAAGTATATATTTTTTACAATAAAAAAAATTTATATCATGATTAATTGATAATATCTAGTGTTATATGAAACATTCTATCACTTATAGTTAATTACAAAATTTATTCTAACAATATTTGCACATAAATTATGTTGATTTTTTGTTTGTCATTGTTTTTTTCTTGAAGTTGAAAGTCCAATCTGATTATTTTTTAAATCATATTGCATTACTCATAATTTAATGCTTAAATAATAATATAATAAATAATAAACAAATATTGTAAAGTAAACAAATAATAAATTTAATACTTTTCTCTTAAATTTTTTATCATACTACCATTGGAAGAGGCATTATCCAATGTCAGAGGAAATATTTTTCCATCTATCCCCCACTCCTTAGGAGTTTTAAGTAATTTTTTTAGATAATTCTAACTGGATATATGAATTATCCATTTTACAAAATGAAAGCAACTTATTGTTTGGCCCCTGGTTTAAATCAATATAATGAATGATTAGAATCATATATCATTTGGTGGTTATAGATGTCCATATATCAAAAGTCAAACATATTCTATCTAGAATAATAGTTAATATATTGTTTAATTTTTCCTATTCAATTAAAAACACTTTATTACAAATGACTAACCCTAATTCTAAACTTATAAGTACAAGCAAATAAAAAGAAAGATTATTTTGTAAATTAATGTTAATTTATATTATTTTAATTATTAGTTTAATGGGCCAGCTTATCAGCTTGTGGATCAATCTGACCTGAAATCATTTCACTTATCAAAGTTAGAAAGTTAAGGCAAAATAACCTAATTTTATTTACGTCATCTTTTTTAATATTTAGTCTAACTTTATTTTTGAATTGATCAAATCCAAATTAATATATATATATATATATATATATATATATATATATATCCACCTATAGTAATATTTGATATATATTTTAAGAGAGAATAAAATACATATCCAACATGCATGAAAGCAAATGCATTCAGTTAAATAAAAACATATATTAAGAAAATACTTGTAGACAATAGTCTTGATATAGTTCAAATCTAGATTAGATGGGTAAAATATACGTATGAAATGTAATACTAAGTCTCATTATAAATATATTTTTAATTTTTTAAATTTATAGTAAATTTATTGGTAGTTTCTCAAATTTAAAATTAATTTTTTTAATTTCTGTAATTTTTTTTTAAAAAATATTTTAATCTTTATAGTTAAATTTTGTTAAAAAATTTATCAAATATTATCGTATAAAATTTATTTATTAGTGTTTCTGTTACCGAAAATATTACAAAATTTTATTATTTTTTTAATATCATAATAAGTCATTATGATATTTAGTTTAATTTGATTTCGTATTTTTTATTGCAAATATGAAAACATTATTACATTTATCAATGTTATTATGATAGTTGATATTTAATTTGATTTCTTATATTTAAATTTTGTTAGAGAGTCTGTCAAATATTATTATATAAAATATACCTATTGACGTTTTTATTAGTGAAAACATTATATTGAACCCAGTTAATGGTGTATAATTATCTCAATTTATTTTCTTAGATATATTATTGATGATTTGAGGGACTAAAAATAAGATTTTAAAAAATTACAGGACTAAAAATAATAACTTTAAATTTAAGAAAACAAAAATAAATTTATCATAAATTCAAGAGATTAAAAATATATTCAAACATTTTTTATATAACATTTTCCAAAATATGCTTATTACAAATTAAAGTTTAAGATCTCTTACGCTTCCTTAGATATTTAAAACATTGTAAATAAGAAGTATGAAATGAATTTAACTCCCTAACATGATGCCTAAGGTATTTAAAAAAAAAAATTATTACGACGTTATAAAACATTGTAAATAAGAAGTATGAAATGAATTTAACTCCCTAACATGATGCCTAAGGTATTTAAAAAAAAAATTATTACGACGTTTTAGAATAGTGATCAATATTTTTAAAATTGGATCAATCATCAAATCGATGAAAATATTGATTCAAAATTTAATGGCTTAATTGTAGTTGAATTATAGTCAAATTAATATTAATAAAATAATAATAATATTTAAATAATATGTAAACAATATTACATAAACACAATATCATACTTTTTATTTTTTAAAAATAAAATAAAATATCTTTTATTTTTTTATTTATATTTTTAAGATGCATGTAAAAGTCTAAATACAATATTTAAATTTTAATGTTGATAAAATATAACAATATAAATTAACAATTTTGCATTTATAGTAGAAAATCTCAAACTAATGTAATATAAAATATAAAACATCATGCTATATAAAATTATAAATTAATATAAATGCATAAATTATATCTTTATAAAAATTATTAAAAAAACAAATAACATAATTTATTCTAATTTATAATTTTAGATATATATATATATATATTTATATATATATATATATATATTTATCAACAAAAATATTTGAAAAGGACTAATTCAACTTAGTTTTCTAGACTAGTTTTTAATTATTTTTACTGATTTTACAGCAGTTCATTCATTTTCTAACTGACTTTTTTAAATCCTAATTTTATGATTCTTTGGAAGTGATTGGACATATATGATTTACTAATTCCATGTGTGTTTTATAAATCCGACACATTGAGTGTTAGTCTGGTTCAATAATTATAGTTTTGATTGGTTTGAAGTTTTAACTGTTGGAGTTAAAGTTGAAGTGGGCCATGTGTTGGTTTTACTTATGGGCCAAGTGTGCATTGTATGGGCTGGTTCCGTCGGCCCACACGAAATGTGATATTAATTTGCAATGGGTTGGCAGAAGGCAGGTAAAGGTAAAAAAAGAGAAGAAATAAATAGATATATAATAGAAGTAAGGGTCCATTGATTTAGAGAAGAAAAAATAGATTCATAGTCATAGTGTTGAGATTTGAGGTGGGTTGCGTAATGATAGCAGAGAGGGAACAGGGTGGAGGTGCGCCCCACGGGATCCTCCTGGCAGTAGTGGTAGCAATCGTGGTTGTAGTGCCCTTTCTAGTTGGGGATCAGGGCGAGGCCATCACACAGGCCATTTCGGACCTTCTAAGCCCATTGGGCCTCCTCCTTCTGCCCATCCTCCTACTTCTCACCATCCACTTCCTCTCCTCCGATCGCGCCTCCTTCGTCTCCGCCCTCTTCTCCACCGGCGAACCCGACACCATCCACCGCGTCACCGGCTCCCCCGTCGGCGTCGCGCTCTTCCTCATCCTCATTCTCTTCCTCTTGTACAACCGCGTCACTATCTTCGGCGGCGACGACGGAGATGACTGATTTATACTTTCTCCATCTCCCCTCTTCTACATGTACCTATTATTGTTATTATTATTGAAGCCATAAGTTATTGCATGTCATTTGGTTCCACTTCAATTCAATTGCTTTATTTTTGCATTTCAATTTCAGTCAAGTAATTAATGTTGTTTTTTCTTCTGTTCTTGGTGGATCATGTTAGGGTTTCTTTAAATTTGAAAAGAAAAGCGTGTTAATTGGAAAATGAAAAAGCTTAACGTACAAGATTTGAATTTGAAGTGGGTGTTTTGTCGGTGCCGTGGCTTTCGCTTACTTTCGCGTGATCAGGCTGCGCTGACCCTTACTGCAATCCTATTACTTTCCACGAATCTATGCTTAACGCGTGTGCTCTGTGGTCCCTTTCTTCAGCATTTTATTTTTTTTGTTGGTCTTGAAATCAAATTTTTTAAATGGAACCTGGCCTTTAGTGTGTGGTAAAAACTAAAAAGAAACAGATTGGAATATACAGCTTTGAATTTTGTGGAAAATTGAAAGTAAATATCTGGGACACACAACATATTGGACTGGCTACCAGGAGAGAATATTTCGGCTTGTCCCACTCCCACGCTCAAGATCTATTTAACGCTTGATCCTAGACATTGGAACGTCGAGACAACTCCTATTCTATGAATAATTCAAGAGAAATTGTATTTTTAAAATGTGTTTGTACAATACTTTTAAAATAAACAGAGAGATGTATATATTCTATTTTTCTGTACAGTAACAATAAACCTATTTGGAAAGATCGCTGGAAGTTGTTAGAGTCGCTTAATTGATAGGAGTTTTAAGTAATATACACATGTTCTTAAGTTCTAGAGAGTAAAGAATTAAAGATTATTACATTGACTTGACATGAATTAAATGCGAAAATTGCAAGCCTAGCCCTGCGGGAACCTCTTTATAGTAAGTTTTAAAATATTTTTCATAAATTTGATGTATAACTGGTTCCGTAGTAAGTGGAACTATAAACTAGCAGACATCTCCTTTTCAATCAACTTTCGTTATGAAATAGAGACACTGATTCAAGATATGGGTGTAGGATTCATCTGTGCCGTAGCGTCACATGAAGTATTTAGTGACAAGGGACAATGTGAATCTTGCTCATGCAAAGATCCACAAAAGATGCTGACAAGTGTCTGTCTTCTTCCCATCTCAATGGTTACTGCATTTACAATGCTCCTAATAACTTAGTTCATCAACGGCTCTTGCTTTTAAACCAAAACCCTTATAACAATGGATGATTGCATTCATGGTTTGGTCCCTCAATGTACTTTGATCTTCATGTTTTTGTGCCAAAACCCCTTGTTAAAGGACTGATTTTTGTAATTATTGACATTGTGAAATAAATCAGATGGCAAGTGAATGATTTCCACCTTGTAAAACTCCCCATGTGAAAACACGGATGGTTACTTTTAAGATGTGTTTGGTCTGACTACAAAGATTGGAAAAGAATATGAATTTGTTTGATTAAAATTTTTAATAAAAATTTATTTAAAAAATGCAAAATAAAACAATTTTTTATAAGTTAAAATTGAATTATTACACATCAAATTTTGAAAAATCTAATTCTATATAACTTGAAATACATATGTTTAATTTATTTTTTATATTTTAATTTTCTTTTCTTATAAGTATTTGTTGAAAAAATTAACCAAAGAAAGTGTATGTTAGTTTCTTTCTCTCTTGGACAGAACTAAAGATATATATTTAGATTACAATTTGCGAAGTTAAGTTCATTTTGCTTTAGATTGAATAGATATTTAGGATAGAACTACAATGAGTATGATGGATTAAGAGACCGACAAATAAGTTGGTACAACTTTTTGAGTTTTAAATGTTCGATCAAGTGAGTAAAAAGAAAACCAAACCAAACATACTCTTGAACATGAAAGTTTAGTAAAGACGCATTTAATTTTGTTACGATAGATTTTGAGAATGAAAATTATTATTCAAAAAGAAAAACAATTATAATTTTTCATTTAAAACTTCACTAAAAAATGTAGTAACATAAATACACATAAATGCTTCATTTCTTTGATTTTTCAATCAGCAACAATTTTATACTGTAGAATATATTCATTTTTTTTACACCAGAATATATTCATTTTTAAAGATTCAAATCCTATAATATGATACTTGATAATACGTTACTAAAAAACTTGCACTTTCAAAATGCAACAATTTCTATTACCTACTTGGGCTTTTTAATATGGCAATAGAAGACTAGAATGATAGAATAAAAAATAATTTACACTTAAATCCAATTTGCAAAGGCATTAGGATGGGACATTATGTCACACAAGGGACAAATATACATTTGAGTAAATTTAATTTGAATACCCAACAAAAGATCCATTTTTTTTAAATGAACCAAAAACCTTTAAAACTATATAGCTAACAAACAGGAGAGGAATTAATGAAGAACATACACATGATCACTGAATAGGAGAAACCAAGTATCTTAACGGGGTACTCTTTTTCTACTTAGTATCTCTTGTTCTTTTAGTCGATGTTGGAATCTTGCCAAGCGAGCTTGAAGACTGACGAGACTAGCAGCTTTGCGAGAAAGCACAAAACTCAACTGGGTTACGTAGTTGTCAATAAGACTTCCTGGCTGGTCCACTTCTGCCAGTAGTTTCATTTCCTAATAATCACAAGCAACACAAAATGAGCTCCAACAAACACAACTAGTCTACTAGAAGCAAGCTTTACGAAAATAATGGAAGTTGAAGGTTCTATGTCTCATCTATAATAATAAGTTTATACACGTGCTTTACTTGAAGGTTTGGTTTCATGGTGTCTTCAACATATTTAAGAATTAAAACTCATATTTTCTCTATAATCTCTGCAAACCAACTTCTTTATGTATTCTATAAATTTTTTAAAGTAAAGAAGCAAATTGACGCTTGTCAACTGCAATACAAAAACTCAAGCCCTGAAGTGACCTAACAAAAAGCAATCAGAAATTGAATTTCACAAGGTTAAGGAAAATATTGTTTAACTCACTTCGCGAACAATCTCCATTGTGTCCTCAATTTCTTTCCTATGAGCAGCAATCAGGGCTTCTTCCTCCTGCAGAAGTACAACCAATAAATTAAACAGATACTCGAAAGTGTTACAATAAACTTTTAAACTGCAAGACGGTAGGCTCCAAATATTTGACAAACCTCAAGTATTGCACTGATATTCACATCAGAAGAGGATTCTGTTTCAGACTGCCCCGATCCAGTGGTAACTGTGTTATAATTTCCTGTGCTCTGCTGCTTGGAGCTTGTGGTGAAATGATCAGAACCATTGACATCCCTTTTTGCCCAATTTACAGGTCTCTCAGATTTCTCCTCCTTAGTCCCTTTTCTTCGAGGGGGAGACACCCTTTGTACTTTCTCATCTGCATCATTTAGGGAATAAGAATTCATCTTTTGACTGGTAGAATCAGCGTAAGAATTCTTCACTTCAAACCTTTCCCTGTCCATTGGGGCAGACGCAAAGCTTTTTTCCTCTCGCCCATTTAAGGGGTAACTAGAAGAAAAACTCGATCGTTGTTTGTCAACATCAACAGTAGAGCTATACAACAAACTTTCCTTTTCAATAGCTTTCCTGCCCATGTCCATTGTTTTTACCTCTTGACGTTGCCCATTAAAATCTTCTGCACCAACACTAGCTGGAAGTGATGATGTGGATGAAACCTCTTTATTCGCAGGTGGTACTAGGTTTGGGGCCTGATCCTTTCTAGGATTTCCACTCTTGGATAGACTTTTAACTCTGTTCACATTAGGATGATACGGTTAATATCTGAAAACATGCATGTGCATGGAAAAAGTATACCCATATATGAACATAATTTTATGCTTAGTTTTTAGGGTTTAGGGAACACATACCGGTCTGCATATCTCAAGGTATTAAGAGTGTGTTCACAGGACCCAGCATTTGGGGATATACAAGAGATCATAACAGTTTTGGAATTTCCAACAAAGGAGTCACGGAGCACTTCTGTAAGCTTGCTACCACGAAAAGGTATATGGATCTGATCATTGTCCAAAGCACGAATGCATTCCTTCAAAGCCAAAAGGCTCTTATTGATTTCAGCACCTTCAATCCTGTAGTAATAATACATGACATGCCAAATGAGAAGAGATTGATTACTATATGACACGAAGCAGGGATGGAATAACCCAAGGAAGCAATGATCAACCAAACCATGTTTAAAGCAGTTATATGAAAATAAAATCATACTAGAAGTTAGACAACAAATAAACAAACAGTACAATTGGATATTTCACATTTTAAATAAGAAAAAGTACCTTGTCTGACGGTCATTGTCAGTAGTATCAGCACCTCTTTCACTTCCAGCAAGATCAATAAAAGAAATCTTCCCCACAACCTTCCCACTTTTTGCCTCATTTCCATCATTATTGTTCCGCTTGCTCTCTTTTACTTCATTGTGCCTCTTCACAACAAGTTGTAAGATAGCATGTGACCTGGAGGACTCCTCATTTGCACCAGTTGACCCTGTACTTCTTGCTGCATTCCCCTTTTCAATAAAATCTTTGACAATCTGTACATCAGAAACTTCAAATTCTTGCAGTCCAACAATACATACTTGCTGTCGTCCATCTTCTCTCATGCAGAGTTTCCTATTCACAGAGTAACAAACACAGCCACTCAGCAATCTATATCATTTAAGCGAATATAACATGCAAGTTGATGGCACTGAATAAAAAAGACATGAAATGCATATTAATTTGGACAGACATATTTGTACAATCCACAAAAGCCCAAATAAATAAATACATCGAATTCATTCTTGATATAGAATGAAGTTTGAGTTGCTTGGGAAAATTCTAAAGTAATACTCTTGACAGCCATGATTTGAAATAATTTTTTTAATATAATAGTTTAAACTCAATCCAGTTGCATGCATGACTATGACGTCCACAAGTCATGTTCTTAGAGGGACTTGTATAACACTAAGAACATGATGAATACTCATACTGCTTGATGCAAACATTATAAGTTTTGCAAAACTACTCCTGGGAATATGAACTTTGGAATATAGCATTCCCATGTTTGTTAAAAGCTTCAACAAAAAAAATAAATTCCCAAGCATAATTAATTCCCAGGAATGAGTAAACTTCATATAC